GGGGAGTTAACCTGTTGAGTCAGAATTGCTCTGGGTCAGTTTTTGCTTTAGCCCAGCCGGCATGGCTCAATGGTTGAGCATCAACCTATGAACCAGGATGTCACAGTTCGATTCCCAGTCAAGGCACATGCCCAGGCTCAATGCCCAGGTTGGGGGCTTGATTCCCAGTGTGGGTGGGGCATGCAGAAAGCAGCCAATCAATGATTCTCTCTCCTTCCTCTCTGAAATCAATTATATATATATATATATTGTATATATATTATATATATTTTTTAAGTTTTTTTGGTAATGCATTCTCCACAGTAGCTTCCATAATTCTGAACTTATCTATTTTTTTTTTAATCTGGCTAATTAATTTTTATGTGTTGGGCTTTTTTATAAATTAAATTTTTTATTTTGTGATAACTATAGGTTCATATGCAATTGCAAGAAATGATAGTGGAATTCCATATGCCCTTTACCATTTTTTCCACCAATGGAAACATTTTGCAAAACTGTAGTACAGCATCACAGCCAGGATGTTGACATTGACACAGCTGAGCTACCAAACATTTCTGTCACATGGGGATCCCTCCTGTGGTCCTTCTAGAGCAGAACCCATTTCCCTCCTGCTCCCCTCCCCCTCTGCTACCAATCTGTTCTTCATTACTGTCATTTTCAAGAAGGTTATATAAGTGGAATTGTTCAGTATATAACCTACTGGGATTGGCTTTTCCACTCCTTGTGTGAATCTGTAGTTCATTTCTCCTTATGGCTGAATAGCTTTTGTTGTATGGGCATACCATACTTTATTCACCCATCAAAGGACATCTCAATTATTTCTGGTTTTTATCTATTAAGAAGAAAGCTGCTGTGTGTATCCATGTGGGTTTTTTTGTGTGAGCGAAAGTCTTCATTCCTCTGGAATAAATGTCCATGAGTGTAACTGCTGGGTAGTTGGTGTTTCCATATTTAGTGTTTCAAGAACTGCTGACTGCCCTCCAGAGTGTCCATCCCACCAGCAGTGTTTGAGCAGTCGTTTATCAGCATCCTTGCCAGCACTTGGTGCTGTCACTGTTTTGTATTTTGGCCGTCCTGATAGATACGTAGTGAAGTCTCGTGTGGTTTTAATTTGCTTTCTGGATCCCTAATGTGTTTAACGGCTTCTCTTGCATTTATTTGCCTTCTGTACATTCTCTTTGGTGCAAAGTCTCTTTAAATCTATGGCCCGCTTTTCTAACTCAATTGGTTTTTCACTGTTGAGTTTTAAGAATTTTTTATATATTTTTTAGATTAATTCTTTATCCAAGGGCCAGTTTGCAAAGGCTTTCAAATTTTTTCTCCTGGTCTTTAGCTTTTTTTAAAAAAAATTTTCTTAACAGGGATTTTTTTCAGAATGAAAGTTTTTAATTTTAATAAAGTCTAATTTATCAATTTCTCTTTTTATGGATTGTATTTTTTGTTGATAAGTATAAAAATCCTGTATCTAGCCCTAACCAGTTTGGCTCAGTGGATAGAGCGTCGACCTGCATACTGAAAGGTCCCAGGTTCAATTCCAGTCAAGGGCATGTATCTTGGTTGCGGGCACTTCCCCAGTAGGAAGTGTGCAGGAGGCAGCTGGTCGATGTTTCTCTCTCATCAATGTTTCTAACTTATCCCTCTTCCTTCCTCTCTGTAAAAAAATTAAAAAAAAATATATATATATATATATATGTGTGTGTGTGTGTGTGTGTGTGTGTGTGTGTGTATTTTAAATCCTGTATCTAACCATAGATATGTAATGTTTTCTCCTTTTTTTTTTTTTTCAAAAGCTATACTTTGGTGTCTTAAATGTGAGTCTTTGATCCACTTTGAGTTAAATTATTTTTAATATGGTTTTTAAATTCTTTTAAAATATATTTTTATTGATTTCAGAGAGGAAGGGGGGTAGGCATCAATGATGAGAGAGAATCATTCATCCATCATTCATGGGCTGCCTCCAGCACGCCTCCCCCTGGGTTCTGAGCCTGCAACCCAGGTATGTGCCCTTGACCAGAATTAAACCAGGAACCCTTCAGTCCACAGGCCAATGCTCTGTCGATTGAGCCAAACTGGCTAGGGCTTCTTTAAATATGTTTTTATTGATTTTTTTTAGAGAGAGGAAGGGAAAGGGATAGAGGGAAACATCAATGTGAAATATTGATCGGCTGCCTCCCGCAGGCCCCCCACATGGGCTCTAGCCCACAAACTGGGTCTGTGACCTCTTGGTTCCTGGGTCAATGCCCAACAGCTGATCTACACCAGCCACACCACTTAGAGTTAATTTTTATATTAGGTTAGTCTCAGGTCAAGCTTCTTCTTCTCCCACCTCCCCCTTTTGCTATGGAAGTTCAGCGGATTCAGGACCATTTGTTGAAAGGATTATTCTCCCATTCTTCCTCCATGGCATTGCTTTTGTGCCTTTATGAACAATTGTGCATCTTTATATGGGTCTACTTCTGAGTTCTCTCTTCTGATCCACTGATCTGTGTGTTTATCCCTCCACCGACAACCTTGAGCACTGTAGCTTATATAATAATACGTCCTGAAATGAAATACACCGATTGCTCAGTGGAATCATGAGCAGAGCAAGGATGATAGGCCTGGTACAGAAGGTCACCAGGGTGGAAAGCCCTAAGGTGCCTAGCAACGGACAATCAACTATTGGGTGACTTTCCTCCCCTAGCAACCACCGGTCATGCAGTGTGGACCCTTGGCCTTTCCTCCCTAGAGATAACATCCGTGCCTCAAGTTGTGTTTCAGCTGCAGCCCAGTAAGCAGCAAAACCAAACTCAGGACCACTGCACTGGATAGTGTCCCCTGCCCTGGTGCCGCCGGTCAGCCCTGAGAGGACACACCTGGAAGGCTGCTGCATGTTCTATTAGGATCTTCCCCCGGGCGGGACCTCCCCTCACATCTCCACCCTTAAAACCTAGTGAAGAGGACCCGGTGTGCTCTCTCCCCCCAACTCCTCCCTCTCATTTCTCTCCCTGCCCCAGGCACATTGCTGTTAGCCTCCTCATTCCCCCCCCACCCCCACCCCGAGTTCCACGAGTTCCACAGCCCTTCCTTTACCTCTACAACTTGCTATCTAAGCCCATTTCTTCTAGAAATGACTTCTAACTGTAATTTACCAAATAAATGTTCTCTTACAGTTGGGTCTTGGCACTGAATTTTTTCCCAGCCTGAACACAAGGGTCAGACACCCAGTGCTAATCCTGCTGCCTATAACACCCCACTTTATTCCTCTTTTTAAAAATCCTTGTAGCTATACTACCATGTTTCCCCCAAAATAAGACATCCTCCGAAAATAAGACCTAGCACATGGAAAAATAAGACATCCCCTGAAAATACGATCTAGCGCATCTTTGGGAGCAAAAATTAATATAAGACACTGTCTTATTTTCGGGGAAACAAGATAGTTCCTTTGCCTTTACCTGTGCATCTTAGATCACTATGTAAGTGTAAAAAACACTTACTGGAGAGTATCTCTCTAATTGCTGATGGAGGTGCTGTTTAATTCATGAATCACTTAATAAAACCAATCAGTCTTCGGGAAAAAAAAATCTTATTTGGATTCTGATAAGAATTGTATCAAGCCTTAGCCAGTTTGGCTAAGTGGATAGAGAATCAGTCTGTGGATTGGAGGGTTCCCAGTTTCATTCTGGTCAAGGGCGAATGCCCAAGTTGCAGGCTCAATCTCTAGTTGGGACATACAGGAGGCAGCCGATCAATGATTTGCTCTCATCATTGATGTTTCTAGCTCTCTCTCCCTCTCCCTTCCTCTCTGAAATAAATAAAAACATTTTTTAAATAAAATTTGTTATCCAATCTATATATCACTTTGAGAAAACACTGATATTTTTACTATGCTGAGTCTACCTAACTGTAAATATAGTCTCTCCATTTATTTAGATCTTTTTTTAATTTCTTTCATGAGCATTGTGTAGTTTTCAAACAAGACTTATGTTATTAGATTTATGTGTTGTATTTCTTTTTTCTTTTAGTGATTGTAAATGGAATATTTCTAATTTCAGGGTCCACAGGTTCAAAGTTAGCATGTAGAATTAGTTGAGTTTTATGCTTGTTTGATGGTATCCTGTGGCATTGCCAAACTCAGGTATTAGTCCTAGGAGTTTTGGTACATTCCATGGGGTTTCTTAAGTAACCATCATGTCACCTGCAAACCGGGTTTATTTTCCTTTTCTTGTCTGAATGCCTTTTCGTTCCTTTCCTGCTCTGTTGCACGCTCCAGAACGTCCAGGCCCATGTTGAATAGAAAGCGGACATCCTTCCCTTGGTGCAATCGGAGAAAGGATCTTTCTAGCATTAGGTATTCTGTAATGCTGACCTGTGTGTCGTGAGCTTTTATAAATGCCGTTTGCCTATGAGGAGGAGCCGGTCACAGCGCTGATGAACCAGCTCCTCTAGAGTCGGTTCTGCTGTCCGTGGGCATTGCTAGGGCGCCCCGTGAGGAATAAAGATCTTAGAATCTGGCGCCAGGACACTCAGATTTAAATACCAGCGCTCCTGCCTTCTGGCTCCGTGGCCTACACCTCTCCGCAAACAGAAGGGTGAGCACCCACCCCCCTTCTTACTCCTGGCTGCAAAACCCCGCCCTGCTGTGGCCCCACCCAGCACCTTAATTCATCTGCAAGGAGATCTCATCATTAAAATTTGCATTTGGAATCCTAAACTAAAGGACTGAATGGCCTGGGGATGCTTGCTGTCCGGAGGGCAGACTTAATTTCCTGGCTCCTCTTAAACTGCCTTTGTGAACTTGGGCAAATCCCGCTCCCCCTGACCCCCCAGTGCGGGCCTCCGAATGGGGGTGTGACAGCTACTCCGAGGGCTGCTGGGAGACTGCTGGAGTGGACGTTGGGACCGTTCTCGGCAGCGCCTGGCATGTGTCCTGTGCTCATTACTATTGGTGACTGTAGGGACTCATTCTTGTGAATCATCTTTCTTAAAACACATTGTTTGCTTTGCAGATTTTTTAAAAAATGGATTTGGCCAACCATGGACTTATTCTCCTGCAACAGTTAAACGCTCAGCGAGAGTTTGGTTTCCTGTGTGACTGCACGGTTGCCATCGGCGATGTGTACTTCAAGGCACACAAATCAGTTCTTGCTTCATTCTCCAATTACTTTAAGATGTTGTTTGTCCATCAGACCAGGTAACTAACGTGGTTGTGATAATCGAATGACTGCAGACTGGCCGTGGCCCGCTGCCCGCTGAGCCTGCCCTTGGCCCTCAGCGGGACCACGGGTCTCCTCCCTGTCCCCGGGCTCCTGGGCTCCCAGTTTCCCCCTCACCCTTCTTGATTACAACTTGTTTTCTAAGCCCATTTCTTCGAAACCCAGCCTTCCGGGAGTACTTGGGAGTCGTGGGCCTTTGAGGCCAAAGCAGCTCCTCACCTGCACGGTACAGATCCCCTAGGAAGCCGGCTGCTGCCCGACCTTGTTAATCTCTCTCTAATCTGATCAGCTCCCAGCATCCAGGATTTATCCTCTTCTCTTTTAAAATGTCTCAAGCTCAGTTCATTTCCTTGTTTTTTTCACCCCATCTCTTCTGTCTCGGAGAAGAGGGCCCCTCGGTGTTTAAGGAAAAGGCTCTTCTTCCCAACTTCAAGCCCCCAGGTCCCGTCCCTTAGGTTCTATCCTGAGCTTATGATTTTACACATTTGAGCCCCCAGTGTGTGACAGGTCAGTGCTGCCTGACACGCCGTCTGCGCTCTGCTCGGTGACCACGGAAGTGCTCCCTCCCTGTGATCTACGCCTCTTGTGCTCCGGCTCAGCCCACACCTTCCTCCCCGCGGGCCCTGTGGTCTCAGCCACATCGCTCCCCTGAAATCATCGCTCCACTCAAGTCATCCCTCAAAGGTCACCTCTTCCTCAGAGCCTCTGCTCCCTGTCTCTGTGGTCCGTGTCCTTGCAGCCCTGGCAGCTGCTGTCTTCCTCCCTCCTCAGCTTCTTCCTCTGCTGAGCCCCTGCTTTCTGCCCTCTGTGAGTCGGGGTGAGTGTTGTTCTGGGGCTCTTCCTTTCTGTGTGCAGTTCTCTTGGGTGCTCTCTGGTCTCCTGGATCTCACCCTGCCCAAAACCAGTTTCCAGTTCTGACCTTGATCTTTATTTCCCAAGGCCCCAGGCTGCCTGCTGGCAATTACAACTGCATTTCCTCCTTTTATGTCACTTAGCATATCTAAAACGAAATTAAGCCTTGCCTGAGGTTCCTCTTGGTTTCCCCATTTTTTATCTTTGAGAAACCCATAATTAAAAATCTTAGTTTCCAATCAGGGTTTCTTCAAAATACCTTCCATAGTAGTCCTCCCCTTCCCCTGTTCACTTCCATTTACTAATCATCTCCAATTAGTGTCTGCTCTGTATTCTGAACCTTGCTTTCCGCGTAGTGTGCCTTTGATCAGAAATCCACTAGCTGTGATTGAAAACCAGAGGGTCTCCACTGCATACCAAAATAACATTCTGGCTTCCCAACCCCACAGGCCTGAAGCCTGACCGTCTTCCCACCTCACCTCCAACTGCACCTAGTGGGATACCCACCCTTCACCTGAACCGCACTGCCCACCTCCCCTCCCAGCTCACCTCTCAGCACCCCTCCCCTAACCTAGTGAACCGGAAGGATCAAAAGCTGGCTCTCTCTCTCACATCTCAGCACCGGCCTGTTTGTAAGGTCTGTCCATCGCCCCTTTGCTGTCCGTGTACTTGCCTCCCCTCCTCCTGTGTATGACTCTTGGGGGCAGAGGCTGGGTTTACAAACCTTTTTAACATGGGAGTGTATGGTTTAGGCATTGGTAGCACTTGATGTTTACCTTGTGACCCTAAGGATGCGCCCTTTTACTTGACTGTCAGACCTGCTTCACTTACTGACCTTCCGCCAATGTGTGCTTAGAAGTCCCACCACAATGAATCACACCTAGCTATTCTGGGGGAGTAGAAGGATACAGTGTAATGAGTTTTAAATAGATGCAAGAAACCTATCTTCAGTGTTGGCAGTCAGTAAAGGACTTTCCAACAAGGGGATATGGTATCTGTGCCGATAGGAATCTGGCGTTTAAGCTATGTGTGTTACTGCACCAGAGGGGCCACGCACAGCGGCCTCGCCCGCCTCGTTGGAACAAGGCAATACTGGGTGCAAACCAGTCCCTTTTTCTCAGGCCGCTAAGGATTGCTGCGCGGCTGCTTAGAGAGAGTCTGAGAGTTTTTTCACTTGGCAGGGCTGGGGAACCCTTTTTCCTCCAAGGGTCATTTGAATATTTGTAACATCATCATTCTCGGGCCATACAAAATTGTCAACTTAAAAATTAGCCTGCTATCGTTGGCCAAACATATAAGCAACTCACCCCCAATGCCTGGGCTGGGCCAGACCTTCCCACCCCCGGCTGAGAGAGAGTTTTGTCTGTCGTTGCCGCTAGGTGTCGCTGTGCTGTGAACGCTGCTGGACGTGGCTTTAAATCATGCAGCCTCAATGGAGACATGCCTTGCTGATAAGTACAGCTTCTGACAGTGTCTAACATTTGACATTCTTTCTTCTCAAACTTCTTTAAGCCCATCTTAGGATACTGGAATGTGAAGGAAGAAATGAAATTTTAAGTCACTGAAAGTTTACACGGAAAGCTCGTAGCTGTGCTAAAGCTGTTTTTCCTACACAAAAGTGTCCTATCAGACAGACATGTGCCAGCCAGGCCACTCGGTGAGATTGTATTGTGGAGGCTGCGTTCTTCCCAGAGGAGCCGGGTGGTATTGCCTGGGAGGGAAGCAGTCAAGGATAAAGGTGGCTGCATTGTCTCAAAACAACTTCTCTATGTGTCTGTGTGTCTATATGTGATTCTGCTTTAAGGGGAAAAAATTATAATGAAGAAACCAAGATAAGTTTGTGTCTGGAAACCGCACTGGACCCTGGCAGTAACCGCCCGGGACCTCCCTTCCTAGTCTTGGCGGTTTCTCACCGCTCTTGGGGCCCCAAACTGGTCTCCTCAGCCCCACCTCTCCTTTGCCTTCAGAGACTCACATTGTTTCCACACAAAACACTCCTGAGCAAAGTGAAAAATGTGTCGTCTCAGATAGCTCTTTAAAGTTTGAGATGTGTACTGTCCACTCACCCCCATTCACAGGCTGTAGACAGAGGACACCCTACACAATAACAAATGAGGGGAAATTATGAAACTTACAACAAAGCTTTTATTAAAAGGACCTCTGCTTGGTACCTCTCATGGATGCTGGAAATCATAGTCCCGGTTTCGGATTTTGTCTCTTACTTTTCTTTCCTGGGAGGCAGAGTGCTCACTAACTCGAAGCCCTCCTTCCGCCTGGAGGAATGTTCTGTCTGGGCAGAACAGGAGGTGCCCAATATATTGTGGGGCTGGTTTTTACCCCTAAGGGCCTGTGGTTTCCCAGCTCACCATTCTCTGCCTGGCCTTGGTCATGTCTTCAGGTTAGGGTTGGCTGTTTACATTATGAAAGTATTTGACTCTGAAGCCCGATTCTGAATGCTGAGCTTTCCGAAGGCATCCAAATATGTCATAATAACGCAGTGTGGCTGGCAGTCACTCACCCTGTGCTTAATCAGAAGACTATCTGTATCTTTGTTCCTATTTAAAGGACTGTAAATAATTTAAAAGGATTATGAAAAGAGGCCAAGTAAAGATATGAAAGATTGTGTGTGTGTGTGTGTGTGTGTGTGTATTTCTATTTTTTTTTAATAGTCATGTAACTCTTCCCCTTTATACTTTCAAGGGATGCTAGTGTTATGCTTATTCTTTATTCTTTGGCTTCCACACTTTGTAGTCAGATATTTCTCATATGATTCTTTGTGTGCATTCATCTTGAAACGTAATACAATAATTATTCAAATCTTCTCTGTCTCAAATTCCTATTAAAGTCATTTTTCCTCTTTTTTTTAATAGAATAAAAATTTACTTTAGAAATGCTGAGTATACTGTTAACAGTTTAGCGTATTGGAAACTATTTGTTAATAAGATAAAACAGCCAAAGAAGCCAAAAAGAATTATAGTAAGAAGTGGTGTAATAAAAATTATTGTATCTGGTCAAGAGGACAGCACACGTAAATGCGGTAATCCTCAACCACATCAAAACTACGACTAAACTACAGAACAACCATCATTTAGAACCACCTGAAATCTAGCTGATAGGACTCCCATGACTAAGGATTTAAGGAAGCCACATCGAGGCTGGTAGGAAGGGCAGAGACAAGGACCTGGCTGGTCCCACACTCGTGTGTGGCTGAATATTTCAGCGACAGAAGTCTCCGCTGTGGAGCAAGGACTTCCAGCCCCACACCAGGCATCCCAGCCAGGGTTCCAGTGCCAGGAAGAGAAGTCCCCGGAACCTCTGGCTATAAAATCAGCAGGACTTGAGGCTGAGGAAGGCAGAGGCTGCTGGAGTCTCGGGTGTTCTTCTTAAGGGGCCCGTGCACGGACTTACTCGGCCTCCTGGGCTCCAGTGCTGGGGCAGCAGCTCAAAAGGCTGCAGGAACACATGGGTCAGGGTGAGAGCTGGAGGCAGTGTGGCAGAGCTATCGTTCCTTTTCTGAGCCCTTCCCCCAGGAGCGGGCAGGTGGGCACCATATCTGAGTCTCCCTTAACCTGGCTAAGGCTGTTAGCCCTGCCCTGCCCAACTTTGCGGTCCACTCACACCGTTTTTCAGTGTTTTTCCACACACTGGCTTCTCTTGCCTTACATTTCAGATGTGCCTAAAATCCCAAATAAGCAGAATTTAGCCTGAGTGGCCCCAGGCCTGGCACTAGCAGCAGCTGACTTTGGTTTGCAGTTTGGCCCCTCCTGGGCACCTCCAAGCCCAGTAGCCATCTGCATATCTCTTTGTAGCTCATGCTGGGAGGTTCTGTGCAGAACAGGCAGCAGCTGACCTTGGCCTATACCTCCTGGGAAGCCCCACAGCCAGGGCACCCAGTGGGCAGCTTCAAGCCACGTTGAAGCATCTCCACCCAACCACTTCCACAGTGGCACACTCAAGGGGCAGTCTCGGAGGGCACCAGAGCCTGCTGAAGGAAGTCCTGCTCGGTGGGGTGGTCTCCTCTATGGTGGTTGGTGGTTGAATCCAGTCCTTGCAGCTGACCGGCCTGGGAAGTAAATCCCTCCCATTGACGTGCCAACAGCAATCAAAGCTCAACTGCAACAGGAGGGTGTACACAGCCCACGAGGGGGGTGGGGAGCCCTCCTTGAGTGCCCAGCTTGGGTGATCAAGGAGGCTATGCAACTTGACCTTACAGAATACCTACTACAACGGCCATCCTGCCGACTCTGGGAGACATAGCAGCTTTAATACGTAGAAACAAACACATGGAAACTTCCAAAATGAGGAGACGAACAGGTTCCAAGTGGGGGGGGGGGGGACACCAAAAATAATTAAATTAAATAGAACATACAGAGTTCAAATCAGTAGTTTTAAGGATGCTCAAGGAACTTAAAATTTCAACAGCATAAAAAAGGATATGGAAATCATAAAACAGAACCAGTCAGAAATGAAGAATACACTAACTGAAATGAATAATTTACAGGGAACCAACAGTAAAGAAGATGAAGTCAAGAATCAAATTCAGCAGCCCGGCCTGTGTGACTCAGTGGTTGAGCGTGGACCCACGCACAAGAGGTTGCCAGTTTGATTTCCTTCCAGTCAAGGCATGTGCCTGGGTTGTGGGCTCAATCTCCAACAGGGGTGTTAGGAGGCAGCAATCAATGTTGATGTTTCTCTCTCTTTAAAAATATATTTTTTTTAAAGAATCAAATCAGCAATTTGGAATATAAGGAAGCAAAAAACACCAACAGAATAACAAAAGGAACCAAAAAAATGAGAGTTGTGTAAGGAGCCTCTGGGACATCTTTAAGTATCCCAACATTTGTATCATGGGGAGTGCAGAAGGAGATGAGAAAGAGCAAAATATTGAAAACCTATTTGAAAAAATAATGACAGAACACTTCCCTAACCTGGTGAAGGAAAAAGACACATAAGTTCAGAGCATCCCAAACAAAATGAACCAAAAAGGCCCACACCAGGACACATCATAATTAAATTGCCAAAGGTTAAAGAACGAGAGAATATTAAAAGCAGCAAGAGAAAAGAAGTTACCTACAAGGAGTTCCCATAAGACTGTAAGCTGATTTTTCAGCAGAAACTTCACAGGCCAGAAGGGAGTGGCAAGAAATGTTCAAAGTGATGAAAAATAAGGACCTACAACCAAGATTAATCTACCCTGCAAGGCTGTTAGTTAGAATTGAAGAGCAGACAAAGAGCTTCCCAGACAAGAAAAAGCTGAAGGAGTTCACCAACACCAAACCAATATTACATGAAATGGCAAAGGGTCTTCTTTAAGAAAAAGATAAAAAATATGAATAATAAAATGGCAATAAATATCTATCAGCAATTGAATATGAAAAACAAAATAAGCAAAACAGAAACATGCACAGACACAGAACATTTGATGCTTGCCCAATAGAAGGGCATTGGGGTCTGGGTAAAAAAGGTTGAGGGGATTAAGGAGTACAAATTAGTAGCTACAGAATAGTTATGGGAATGTAAAGTACAGATAGGGAATAGTATAGTCAATAATATTCTAATAGCTATGTATGATGTCCAATGGCCATGAGATTGGGATGACCACTTAGTTATGTAATGTCTAATCACTGGATTGTACACCTGAAACTAATATAATATTGTGTGTCAACTGTAATTGAAAAATAAAAAAGATTACTTAGAAGAAAAGGAAATTATTCACAAAATTTTAAAAAATGACTATAAAACCTAAAAGCACTTAAGGAAGGTGTCTTTGGAGCCGAAAATGCATTGTCTATGGAGTATATACACTCAGGCTGATAGCACGTGCCCCATGATACGTAGAGCTGTACCTCCCTGATTTCTAATGATGCAGTAGGACTGTTGCTGCTGATGGCCCGGGAAGAAAGAGCTCTTGGGGACCTCTGACTATTGCAGCTAGACTCAGGCTGCCTTTTCAGGACGATGCAAACACTAAAATTCCACCTCTGCCGTAGGTCCCTCCCGTAGATTACTTAATTTTTTGAACCCTAAAAGGAATGATCATATCTGCCTCATCTACACAGAATTGCTTTGTTTGTACACAAGATTATTTGAATGCTCTAAGGAATCTTGGTATCATGGCTTTGGAATTAGACCCAGATTTAATTCCCAGTTTTACCACTTAATAAGTCTGTGATGCTGAGCAAGGCATGCATTCCTTTGAGCCTGGGTCCCTTAGCTGTAATATGAGAGTTAACGCCAGTTATGTGAAATAATGCCTGGAAAGCCCAGCTGCAGTTCAGATGATGATGATGACGACGACAATGATATTTGTTAAGGAACTGGATTGTCCTGGAACCACCTTTTTTTTTTTTTTTTTTAAGAGAGATTTGTGGTCCCACTTATTTATGCATTCATTTGCTGATTCTTGCATGTGCCCTGACCAGGGATTGAACCTGCAACCTGGGAGTATCAGAACAACATTCTCACCAGCTGAGCTCCCCTGGCCAGGGCTCGGAAACCACCCTTGAGTGCAGCCTCGCAGCACTGGGAAGGTGACCCGACTGCGCTAGAGCTGGGCTGTGGCTGGCCTTCGGCTCTGTCACCGTCTAGCTGGACGTAGATCAGAGGGTTGCGGACAGAACTGGACTTTGTCTTTCTCTCCCTTTTGTTGCCTTGCTCTGAGCCACTTGCTCTTACTAGTCCAGCTCCCCATGTCATTTTACAAATGAAGAAATTTTTTAAATCATGTAGATTGTTTGATTTACTTTAAAAAAGTCTCCTGTTGAACGCTGGATGACCTTGGATCCGTACAGAATCCTAGACTTAGAGCAAAGGGTGTCCAGGTCACTGGTTCCTAACCATTATCGGGCCACAGGAAGTGAAGGATCCTCTCCATAAAACAAATTTGATTTGATACACTTGACATAAATCACTAGGAGAAAGACTGCTTCAAGATTCTGTGAGTTAGGCTATCACATTTGTTTAACATGAATTCTCAGTCCTTTAAGATATATTTTAATATATTTTTCCTCTGTTCCTAATCTAATTAACATTAAGTTATATGGATTCCCTTTATCTTCTTGAGCATTCCATTTCATGACACCAACAATAAGAAGTAGGAAATGTTCGTGGTTCGTTCCCCTTTTTAAAGAGCGCTTATTTTTCCCTCAGGCTTGATGTGACCAGTGGAGACAGTTCCTGACATTGACTGACGGGCCTTTTCCTTGTCCGTTTCTTTCAGTGAGTGTGTCCGTCTGAAACCATCCGACATCCAGCCGGACATCTTCAGCTACCTCCTGCACCTGATGTACACCGGGAAGATGGCGCCCCAGCTCATCGACCCCGTCCGCCTGGAGCAGGGCATCAAGTTCCTGCACGCGTACCCTCTCATCCAGGAGGCCAGCCTGGCCAGCCAGGGGGCCTTCTCGCACCCTGAGCAAGTGTTCCCGCTGGCCTCCTCCTTGTACGGCATTCAGATCGCGGACCACCAGTTGAGGCAGGCCACCAAGATTGCCCCGGTGCCCGAGAAGCTGGGGCGAGATCCCCGGCCCCAGCCCTCCAGGGCGAGCCAGGAGCAGGTGCCCGAAGCCACGCCGCTCTCCCAGCTGACTTCCAATCTGCCCCAGGTGAACCGGACACACGTGACTCCCTCGGAGCCCCTGCAGACCTCCCTGTCCCCAGAACTCGTCTCCACCCCTGTCCCTCCAACCGCCGCCGGGGAGGAGGCCAACCTGGAAGCCTCTTCCTCCGACGAGCAGCCCACGCCCCTCACCATCGCCCACGTGAAGCCCAGCATCATGAAGAGGAACGGCAGCTTCCCCAAGTACTACGCCTGCCACCTGTGCGGCCGGCGCTTCACCCTGCGCAGCAGCCTGCGGGAGCACCTGCAGATCCACACCGGGGTGCCCTTCGCGGCCGGCCCGCCCGGCGAGGGCCGCGGGCCCCTGTCGCTCTGCAGCACCGCGGCGGACCTGGGCAAGGACGCCCTGGAGGCGCCCGAGGCCGGGATGATCAGCGACAGCGAGCTGCAGCACATCTCCGACTCGCCCATCATCGACGGCCAGCCGCACTCGGACACGCCGCCGCCCTCGGACATCGCGGACATCGACAACCTGGAGCAGGCGGACCAGGAGCGGGAGGTCAAGAGGCGCAAGTACGAGTGCACCATCTGCGGCCGCAAGTTCATCCAGAAGAGCCACTGGCGGGAGCACATGTACATCCACACGGGCAAGCCCTTCAAGTGCAGCACCTGCGACAAGAGCTTCTGCCGGGCCAACCAGGCCGCCCGGCACGTGTGCCTCAACCAGAGCATCGACACCTACACCATGGTGGACAAGCAGACGCTGGAGCTCTGCACGTTCGAGGAGGGCAGCCAGATGGACAACATGCTGGTGCAGGCCAACAAGCCCTACAAGTGCAACCTGTGCGACAAGACCTTCTCCACCCCCAACGAGGTGGTCAAGCACTCCTGCCAGAGCCAGAACTCGGACGTCTTCGCCCTGGACGACGGGCGGTCCGTCCTCCTGAGCAGCGCGGACTCGGAAGTCACGGACCCCGACCACCCCGTGCTAGCGAGCATTAAAAAGGAACAGGAGACCGTGTTGTTAGACTGAATGTTACTTTTCTTTTTTAAACTGTCTTTTTTTTTTTTTTACAAAAGACTGTCTTCCTTCCCTTTCCTCATTCCGAACTGTCATTGTCCTTGGCATGATACAGAGAGGTCCCGGGTCCCTTTCCCTCTCCCGCCCGCGGCCCCAGCCCCTCCTCCCACTCCCCCGTAAGGCTCCGTGCATTATAAACCTGGAACACTTGGCTTCCGTTCAGGGGACATCGGAAAGATAATAGCCAGTAGTACTTATAAACTCCAATGGGTTTTTGAGTCTTAGATTATTTTAAAAGCCTACTTGCGCGGAACTAATGAAGGGTATTTAACAAAACCAAACAACCAGAATGCAATTTGGTAAGCTTCGATTATGGCCCTCCCTGGGTGGCGTCTTCCTTCTCAGAAAAACAATGTCAGGAAATGCAGCATGCTTCTCGGAGACACAGCTGGGCCCTTTACTATGCAAAAACCTCGGTGTGGAAAACCTTAACCCCCAGAGAACACTCTTAGTATGCCTCCTCCAGGTGTCTCCTTTCAGAATGCATTCTCTGAGATTATGTCCAGTCAAGGAAAATCATTAGTTAAGAAACCTACTTGAACAAAACACAGGGAGAAAAATAAAAAGTAATAATGTGATGGCAATCTTAATTTTTCGATAAAACATGACAAGCTGTGAGCTTGTGTGTTTGTAAGAGAACACGTGTGATCCTTGCTACAAACAGGTGAATTAATGCACATGCCTTATCTAACTGCTGGCTTCTTTCAAAGGGGAACAACGGAGTGCTGTATTTTCATTTTTGATGAACGCGTTGGTTTTAAAAATGAGATTGAAAGTACTGTTCTGTCGATGGGCTTTCTGAATAGAGTTGCCATGCCATTCTAGTGGCTGCCAGTGGTAAATTGGTTTTAGCACCAACCTGCTGCTTTTAAATCAGTGTGTCTACCACAGGAAAAGGATGCAGGATCTTAACGGGGAAGCTGTGAGCAGAACATGGGAGCTTTAAGGTTTTTTAAATTAATGCTAAATAGCTTACTGGCAACACTCATTGAAAACATCTAAAATGGCAAAGAGAAATCAGGACCAAAAAAACCTAATTACTGTTTGGAGGGAAAAACATGACTTTGATATTTAGTGTCTGATTTTTTTTTAACACCTGAAGTTCCCTCTGTTGGCCTGAGAACAGTAGAATTGGTTCATTAGTCTTTCCTTGGGACAAAACAGGAGCCAGAAATAAGGACCGAAGGGGAGAGGGAAGAACAATAGCTATGCTGTACGTATATGTTAAAACTGACCATCCCACCATCCTATTTCATGTATAGTTGAGTTCTAAGATTTGTAAGTTTTTATACATACTTTCATTGAATAAACATTTAATTAAATGGGTACAGATTTTATCTGAGTATTACTTTATCAGCCCAAAAGGATGCAAGGAAAGGAAGTGGAGAGCATTGCCCGAGGGATGCTGGCTTGCTCTATCTCCTCCTCCTCCTCCTCCTCGTCGTCGTTGGTCTGTAGAACTTTGGGCAGTTTCCTGACCTGCATGTCATTTTCCACTTTTGTTAAATGAAGACTACATTGTGTCATCCTAGTATGAGATTCACAGGAGTAAAGTCTATATGAAGATGCTATGAACAGCCAAAGTTTGACCAGGAATGGGTCTGGAGATGGTGTTACCCAACTTTCTTTTACAAGGAAGAAAAAGGCCAAGGAGTGCTTGCCTAGGTTCATGCTGTGTAAACCTAGGTTATGAAATATTGAGTGGTTTCCACTCATTTCTTTTTTAATATATTTTCATTGATTTCAGAGAAGGGAGAGAGAGACAGAAATATCAATAGTGAGGGAGAATCACCGATTGGCTGCCTCCCACATGCCCTACATGGGATCATGCCCACAACCTAGGAATCGAACCGTGACTTCCTGACACTCAACCACTGAGCCACACCTGCTGGATGATTTTCTTTAAAAAAAAAAAAAAAATGGTACATCTCCTAACTTAAACGAGAATCTTGTGTCCAGTTAATTCTCTGAATATCTATGAAAGGGGAAATTGGGGCACCCTCCCGCCCTCCACACCACCCCCAGGCTGCCTTGAAGGGACGAAGGATGCAGCCTAAAGATGGGGTCTTGAAGACTTGAAAAGGAGTGGAGTCATTCCCAGCAAGCTTCCTGGTTTGAAGCAGGGGCTCTGTGAGGAGATGTGTGCGGTGTACAGATGGGGCAGGTGCTCTTGGACAAAGTGCGAGTCTGAGACCCGGGGATTTATCCTGCATCTCCCTGTTCTCATTCTCAACACTCTTGTTAACCTGGGAGCACAGAAAAGTCACAAAACACCCTGTATAACCTTTGAGGAGGCCACCTACATGGGCCTCCTTACTATAAGAGGCAAGGTCTGGAGGAGGGGATAAAATGGTGTTAGGTCATTGGCCAAGGACATATAACTGCTTGGGGTAATTCCAGAGCCCAGGCCTCCCAATCCAGGGCGCTTTCTGCTACCAGCACACTGCCTCAGACCCCCCTTAGCAGTTGTTTAAGTTAATCTTTAGGTAGCCCGAGCTGGCTTGGCTCGGTGACTAGAGCATAGGTCTGCAGACTGAAAGGTCCCAGGTTCAATTCTGGTTGTGGGCTCGATCCGCAGGCAGGAGGCAGCCAATTAATGATTCTCACCATGGATGTTTCTTCCCCCCTTTCCCTTCCTCTCTGAAATCAATAAATAAAAATAAATGTATACATATATTTGTTAGCAGAAAAAGATGAACTAAAGAATTATTTCACCTTTTTAGTTAGAGGCACCTAAGCAGACAAAGGCTAGAAGGCAGCACCAGAGAGAACAGAGCCTTACCGATGCCCAGTTTGGGAGCCTCGGGAGTGATCAGGGAAAGACTGCAGATTGGCTTCCTCCAACCCAAGCCCCCACCCCACAGGGCCCCCTCTAAGTATTTCCTGGATGTGCTCGCAAGCCACAAAGCCTGAGGAGGCACTGGCAACAGGAGGATGGAAAGCAAATGCAGACAGCATGAGGTGGATGTTTCCTCTCTAGCATCAACCTGTGAACCAGGAGTCTCCAGTTCGATTCCCAGTCAGGGCATATGCCCAGGTTTGGACTCGAATCCCAGTGTGAGACATGCAGAAGGCAGCTGATCAATGACTCACCATCGATGTCTCTATCTCTCCCTCTCCTTTCCTCTCTGAAATCAATAAAAATACATTTTTTTTTAAGAAATGGAAAATCCTTTCTTAAGAAGGGATGTCCTGTCTTGACCGGTGTGGCTCAGTTGGTTGAGGTGCGTGTTGTCCTGTTGGAGAGGGGTGGGGGGAGGGGGCAACACCAGGTGTCAGACCTGTGGGGTCAGACCTTACCTGGGTTTAGCAACCTCAGAACTTGGGTTCTGGCTAGGAATGAATTCAGAGCCAAGACCCAAATTGTAAGAGAACAAATACTGGGTAAATCACAGAGGTAGAAAAAGTAATTTCTAGAAGAAATAAGTTTAGGGAGACAAATTACTGAGGCAAAGGAAGGGCCCTCAGGAGTGAGGAAGCGGACAGTAAAGTGCCTGGGGCAGGGAGGGAGTGGGGGGTGGAGTGGCGAGGGGAGGGGGACGGGGAGGAGAGGTACCAGCTTGCGCCCAGGAGGAAGAGCGAGCACACTGGGTCCTCCTAAGGGTTTTATTTTTAATGTTTTTGTTAATCCTCACCCGAGGATATTTTCCCATGGATTTTTAGAGAGAGTGGGAGGGACGGTGAGAGAGAGACACCCAACCAGGCCAAGGGCAGAGGATTGAGCCTGCAACCCAAGAGGTATGTGCCCTTGACTGGAAGTGAACCCAAAACCCTTCAGTCCTCAGGCAGATGCTCTAACCACTGGAAAAAACAAACAAAAAAAAAAACCAGCTAGGGCCATCGTTGCCAAACTGCGGCTCGAGAGCCACATGCGGCTCTTTGGTCCCTTGAATGTGGCTCTTCCACAAAATACCACAGCCTGCGCGAGTCTATTTTGAAGTAGCATTAGAAGAAGTTTAAGTTTAAAAAATTTGGCTCTCCAAAGAAATTTCAATGTTGTATTTCTGATATTTGGCTCTGTTGACTAATGAGTTTGCTGACGTGCTGCATGTCCTAAGAGTTTGTATTGTGGGGTTTTTTTTTTTTTGTTTTTTTTTAAAGGACATGGAAGTTAGCAGCTTTTTTTTTTTAATTTTATATATATATTTTTTATTGATTTTTTACAGAGAGGAAGAGAGAGGGATAGAAGTTAGAAACATCGACAGAATCATCGATCAGCTGCCTCTTGCACACACATCCACTGGGGATGTGCCTGAAACAAGGTACATGCCCTTGACCGGAATCGAACCTGGGACCTTTCAGTTCACAGACCGACGCTCTATCCACTGAGCCAAACCGTTTTTGGCTGTGTGTTTTTTTAATACATTGATTTCAGAGAGGAAAGGAGGAGAGATAGAAACATCAATGAAGTGGCGTTAGAAGAAGTTTTTTAAAAATGTGGCTCTCAAAAGAAATTTCAATTGTTGTACTGTTGATTTTTGGCTCTGTTGACTAATGAGTTTGCCGACCACTGGGCTAGGGCAATAAAAAACCTATACATTTTAAGAAGTTCTAGTAACACCCTAGCCACTGTGATAACCAAAAACTCACCACCCCCCAGCACTGCCTTGGGAAGGGCTAGCATAGCATGGAGAGCCTCACTTCCCTGCTGATTTGAGCACCTGTTAGGGTTAATCTCATCCCTTGATATAGCCCACCGGCCCACCCTACCGTATCATTTCGGTTGAGTCTTTTAAAAGCCTTAATTGTGTTCAGGTTTCAAGTTAAACAGGCAGCCCCACCTGCTTTTCCAGGAACCAGGTGAGCTCCTAAGACTAACGAGGATAAACAGGATCAAGCACAGTGTGGTTTTAAAATTTAAATTTGCATAACTGAAGCATCGCCTGTGTGCTCCTTGATTACGCTGTTATTAGAATTGAAGGAAATCACAGGGTGGTTACTAGGCTCTGGTA